CACCTTCCGCGACACGCACGGCGCCCGCACCTGCTTGCTGTCCGCGCCCGACGCGCTCGCCCGCTGCCACCCGACGCCGAGACCCAGCCACCGTGTGATCAAGATCCGTTTTACGTGTTGATTAGAATCAACTAAAGGCCAAACCTATCCGCCCATTAGGTTGTGGTGTTCAGACGAACTTCATCAACGGTACTCTACATCGTCTCAGAGTCGGCAAAAATTTTAAAAGGTAAACGTCCATATCCTAACTATAGATTCTGCTGCGTTAGGATTTATTTCGATAAAGTTCAATACTATGCATGTTGTTTGACGTTCCTAACAGAACCCAACACCTCAAGCGTCTGAATGGTCTGCTCGGACTGACCATCTGTCTCGGGATGGTAGGCTGAACTGAACTCTAACTTCGTGACCATCACCTCGTATAAACTGTGCCAGAATCGACTGACGAATCTGGGATCTCTGTCTGATATGATAGTAACGGGCACCCCGTGGAGTCGGATGATCCCACGGGTATATATCTCAGCCAACTTATCCAAAGACATCTTCATCAAAACGGGTAAGAAATGAGCAACCTTAGTCAATCTATAGACCACGACCCAGATAGCATCGTGATGTTCAGACGACCTAGGTAATCCTGTAACGAAATCCATCGTGACTTCCTCCCACTTCCACATCGGAATCGGCAGTGGTTGCAAGAGGCCGATCGGACTCTGATGTTCGGCTTTGACTTGCTGACAGGTAAAACATCTCCGGACGAACTCGGCGACGTCTTTCTTAATGCCTCGCCACCAGAACGACCCTTTCAGGTCATGATACATCTTCGTGCTTCCAGGATGGGCGATATAGGGTGCGGTATGAGCCTCTGATAAAATCTCCTTCCGCAGCGCCTAGACTTTCGGGACCACGATCCTGCCTCTGAACTCTAGGACACCATCGGCACCTAGCTAAAAACCCTCGACGCCTCTGGCGCGAACCTTGGCATCCATGACACGAACGAACTCGTCAGAAGCCTGCTCTCGCCGGATTCTCTCTCTCAGCGTCGACTGAATCTGCATGGCACTGACACTGGCACTGACACTCCCCGAAATGGCTGTGGGAGTGCATCGATCGCCTGAAGCTGCATCCGGGCAAACTCCTTAATCAAGGGACTCTGCTGAGTAACGACGTACGTCAAATCACCCCTCACCTTTCGGCTTAGGGCGTTAGCAACGACGTTCGCCTTTCCCGGATGATACTGAATAGAGCAATTGTAATCCTTGACGAGCTTGAGCCAACGGCGCTGTCTCATGTTGAGCTCCTTCTGAGTAAAGATATACTGCAAGCTTTTATGATCTGTGAAAATCTCACAATGACCGCCGTAAAGATAATGTCGCCAAATCTTGAGGGCATGAACGACTGCTGCTAACTCCAAGTCGTGCGTCGGATAGTTCTGCTCGTGTGGCTTAAGCTGGCGTGACGCATAGGCAACGACCTGGCCGTCCTGCATGAGTACACATCCCAGTCCCTGCTTCGAAGCATCACTGAAAATAGTGAAACTCCGAGAAGGATCAGGAATAGTCAACACCGGGGTTGAAGTTAATCTCCTCTTGAGCTCCTAAAAGCTCGCCTCACAACGATCAGTCCACTCGAACTTCACAGACTTCCTCGTCAGCTGGGATAGTGGGAGGGCAATCTTAGAAAAGCCCTCGATGAACCTGCGATAATAGCCAGCTGAACCGAGAAAACTGCGAACCTCGGATGGACTCTTCGGTGTCGAACAGTTCTGAACAGCTGAGACCTTAGAAGGATCCACCTCGATACCTGCCTAAGTAATCACATGACCCAGAAAGGCTACTCGCTGGAGCCAGAACTCGCATTTGGAGAATTTAGCGTACAACTTATCTCGTCTGAGGGTTTCGAGAACCACCCTCAGATGCTCCTCGCGTTCCTTCTGGCTCTTCGAGTAGATGAGAATATCTTCAATAAAGATAATAACGAACTGATCAAGGTAGGGATGGAAAATACGGTTCATCTGGTCCATGAAAACCGCTGGAGCATTGCTGAGGCCGAATGGCATGACAACGAACTCGTAATGGCCGTAACGAGTCCTGAAAGCGGTCTTAGCGATATCTGACTCCTTAATCTTCAGCTGGTGATGGCCTGATTGTAAATCAATCTTTGAGAACACACAGGCTCCCCTCAACTGATCAAACAAGTCGTCGATCCTGGGAAGCGGATACTTGTTCTTGATCGTCAACCGGTTAATATCCCGGTAGTCGATACACATGCGCATGGATCTGTCCTTCTTCTTGACAAATAAAACGGGTGCTCCCCAAGGTGACACGCTCGGTCGGATGAAACCGAGTCATAATAACTCCTTAATCTGCGCCTTAAGCTCTTGCAACTCCTTCGGCGCCATACGATACGGGGCTTTGGATACTGGACCGGCTCCTGGAATGAGATCGATAGAGAACTCCACCTGCCGGTTAGGCGGTCCTCCTGGAAGCTCGTCTGGGAACACGTCCACAAACTCACGAACAACTGGAACATCGTGAGGTGATCGTGCTTTCTGAGAATCATCGACAAGGCTCACCAGATAACCCTCGCAGCTGCCTCGTCGCAGCAACTTAGTGGCTTTCACCATCGAAACAACATGAGGCAATGAACGATTCCTGGAGCCAAAGAAAGTGATCAAGTCGTCTCCCGGAAGATAGAGAGTAACCTCCCGGTCATGACATCTGATATCTGCATGATAAAAGGATAGCCAATCCATCCCGAGAATGAGGTCAAAATCCCTCATCTCAAGAACATATGCGTCGGCAGACAATGAACGACCACCGATGTAAAGGCTGAGATCTGAAGCTTTAGCTGAAGTCACTATCTTTCGTCCCGAGGCTAAACTCACCTCGAGAGGATCGACAGCGGTAAAGGTATGAACTCCGATGGCATAAAGACATCGTCGTGAAATAAAGGAGTGCGTTGCTCCAGTATCGAATAAAGCAAATACAGGAACATTATTAAGCATGATCATCCCTGACATAGTACCTGGCTGCTGCTCGGCCTCGACCTGATCGACGGCGTAGACTCGGGCCTGCTGTCTGCCCTTCTGCTGCTGCTGTTGTGGTGGCCTCTAAGCCTGCTGACGGGGCTGCTGCTGTGGCTGCTGAGGCTGCTGGGGCTGCGGTGCCTTCTTCGGACAACGGTTCGCAAAGTGTCCGGGCTCGTGACAGTAATAGCATATATCCTGGCCGAAGCGACACTCGCCTCGGTGAAAACGTCCGCATGTGGGGCACTGTGGAACCTGCTGCTGCCTCTGTCTGGTCCTCCAGTCGGTCTGTGCGCCCTTCCCCTTCCTCTTCTTCTCCTTCATCGGCTGGGCAGCTGGTAGAGCTGGTGGAGATGTAGATGACTGGGCTGTGGCGAATGACTGAGGACGATCATGGGTAGCCTCCCTCCTAATGCTGGCGTCCACCTCCTGGGCAATGGAAACTGCACGAGCGTACGTCTGGGTCCCGTGACCTACAATGTTATGACGGACTGCTGGGTAAAGTCCGTCAATGAAGCGCTGTGCTCTCTGGGCCTCCGTGCGAACCAAGTCAGGAACAAAAGCTGCAAGTCTGGTAAACTCTCTTTCGTACTCGTCTACAGTCCGAGTACCCTGTTTGAGCGACAGTAACTGACGCTCCATCTCTGCTCTGTAGTAGGTGGGGTAGTACTTCTCGCGGATCAGCTCATTGAGCATATCCCATGTACATCCCGCCTTCTCGCCGGGACGCATGCTCCAGTAGGCATTCCACCAGAGCCGGGCATCACCGGTTAGCTGAAGCTGAGCGCAGATTATGCGATATCTGTCTGGACAATCCATGACCTCGAAGATAAACTCAAGGCCCTGAATCCACTCGTCCACGATACGAGGGTCTCCCTGCCCAAAAAATTTGTCAGGGTGATAGTCGCGAAACTGTGCGACTACCGTGGCCTGAGGAAGAACTGGGTGATCGGGTTCCCTACGGGGCGGCATCTGAACATTGAAAAAGTTCAAATTATTGAACACATGAAAAATATTCTTCACTGATTTCTAAAGTACACAGATCTCTTGACGAGTTGCCAAAAATGGCAGGAAAATACTGATACAGATCCTGAGACGTCTAGAGTTATATCTGAGTACCGTGAATTCTAAAGTCTGATCCTGATTCGAGCATCTTAACTAAGTCCTGATTAATAATTTCTGAGCATAGACAATAGTAATATGTTTATAACTGAAAACATAAATCAACACTTACCTGTAGTCGGCGAGGAGTGAGTGTGACGGTTCAGGTTTTTCTGAAAATTTATGACTGAAGAACTTTTCAGAGACGCAGAAACGTGCTCTGATACCAATTGTAACACCCCGCTAACTTATTAAAATCAGAGTACGCATTTTTCGCAAATTTCCTAAATAATCAAATAAAATATTTATTTTGCAAAAACTGATTCGGGATGCTACCGTGAAAATCTGACTGAAAAACCGTTAATTTTAACTTATAATAAAAACGGTTATATAAAGTGTTAACCGACTAAAGTCGGATAAAAAACTGAGTCTAAGTACTGAAAGTTTTAGTGAAATAAAAGCGTGGTCAAAACATATATATACATATCCATAAATATCCTGAACTGCCCGCCAGCTCACTCCTCGTCCCCGACCCTACGACCTGAAAAACATGAAATACGTGGGGGCGTGAGCACTAAAACACTGTGCTCCGCAGAAACTCATACTAATGTAAACATTGAAAATAATAACAATATCATGATCTTGGCATATATAACTGAGTTGAACTGATAACTGATATATGATATCGGTCTGAATAATCTGATACTGATCTCGTGACATAAGTCACCTGCCTGAAACTGAACATCTGCCGGCAAAGCCGGACACCATGTGCACACTCTAGTGGGCAGATTAGGGCCACTAGTGTCGGTGTTATATACTTAAGCTTTGCTTTAGTGGATATTACACTTGTTATTCCTTGATGAATGAGAATTATGTTTGGTTAAATAAGTTCCACGTTCTGTTGTTTTGCATGTAGATAAGTGGGTCGTCATCGGGCGTACCGAAGATCACTATATCAGTTACTTGCGAAACAAGAATCGTTGGTTCACAACCTAGATGGAATTGAACCACCCATCGAAAACGGTTGTAGTGTAAACCGTACGGTTTGTCTTGACCGATTAGTTGCACTAGTACATTTATGTATTGAACAGGATCCCAGAGAGGGATGTTCGTTTTATACTAATCGTCGTAAACGAACTAGGCCTCAGTTAATTATTGCGTGCTCTTAACCCGTAAGATATTAAATAGGCATGTGCATATGATTGTTGTTGCTTTGATTCTTTGGGTGAGATCCAAGCCGAGTCCACATACTTAATGAATTGGGTAATAACATTGTGTGTTCGATGTGCTATTAGGATATTTACGGTCACCATGTGCGTTAGTATGATGATGTCCCCGAAGTGAGTTCATGAAGGAATATTATGCTAAACCCTGCAGGTGGATTTATTCCGGCATAATATGAATGCTATGAGCGAGCGCTAGCTTTGGTAATGTAATATTAATTAATTCTTGATTATTAGTGATCGAATTAATTAATGGACATTATATCTTAAACATGGGGAGGTAAATCGGATAATTATAATAAGGAGTCTCAAATGTAATTTGGGATAGGTGAGGCGAGTGCAATAATATTATTGTGGTGCACTTTAATATTATTAATATATTAATTGTGGGGTTGCTCCACAGTATTAATATATTAGAAGCACTTATCCTATTCTCCTTAGGGTCCCTATTGTAGCTCTATATATACAGCATTAGGCTCATGGAAGAGAAAAAAACAATCCCATAATCCTTGGGAAACGTCCAGCCCTCTCTTTCTCTCTCTTCCAAGGAGTTCTTCTATTTATTGTGTTCCACTGATACAAGATCTAGAAAGCTGGTTGAGAATACAGTAGAAGATCTTAAGGTATATAGAGATTCCAATCATACATCCAAACTGGAGACCAAAACCTGCAAGTGACCATACCACGACGACCAGGACGACGAGACGAAGAGATCGCCGTCGAGATCGCCGCCGTCCGCCACCGTACGCGCCGCCACGCGCCGCCGGAAGGTTCCAGCTGCCGAGGACAACGCGCGCGCGT